TTTTGACTTGATGGGTTTATGATTATCATCAACCAATGAGTAATAATTCCATCCATTTATCCTTACCTGGTATGTGTATGTTGCGGAGAAGTGGCGGTTCATCAGATTTAACAATTAATAGTAGCTGGCTAATATCTAATGTGGGACCATTTAAAAGGTGGCTTCAAACACAGCACAGTAGGACGTTGTCGTACGCATGAAAACCCAAAAAAACGGCAACACGAAGAGAGAGATTTGATTTTTATTATTTATTTATTTTACACTCGATGCTGTCGTTGGATTCCGAAAACAACAATTCAAATCCAACACTAGTGCTGTTGTTGCCGCTTTTCACGATGCTTACGTTACTACTTTGCAATAAACTAATAAAGACGAGACTGTAGCTGGATTGAGATGAAATCGGTCCGTCCATGCTTTTGGCACGTCGACGTCGGTCAATACTCAACAGAAGAACGTGTGAAGTGAGCTCCTTTTGGTAATGAACCCCTTCTCCATGTCTTCTCCCTGTTTTTCGTTTTTTTGGTGCACTTATCTATCTCAAGTCTAAACTTGAAACAGAAGAAAAATAGAAAGAAATCGCAAACATTTATGTTGTATCCATATACTTTCAAATTTTCATTTGTTTCGCTCGCTTCTGTGTCTGTGGTTGGTACTGTCAGGGGGTGAGTAGAGTGGAGATAGCACGGCTGGCTTATGGTGGTGCTTTATTATTTGGCACTTTTACCAATCAAGCAAGCTGACTTCTTTCGAATATCAATGCCTATCCAATGGGTTCTTTGTCTTTTGGTAAATATCCAATGGGTACATAGACTATGGACGGCCAAAGTAATCCGGTGAAAGAACAACATTAGAGTTTGTTGGTATTCAACACTCAACAGAGAAGACTGAGCTGCTCTTGCCTCTTGCTGTCACTCTGTCAGACTGTCAATTGTCCACATTCATTCACTAGAATTATAGGGGCCAGTTTGGTTTTCGGGAATAAGGGTTTAGAATTGGAATCTATCATTTTGATTTCAATTATTTGGTTAAGGGTATTATTTGAGAGAATGGTCATTCTCTCTCCCTCCATTCATAAAGCATCTGTTTGGCATTGATGTCATCGCTCCAGAAAATGGTCATATATTAAAATTACATTGAAAAAATTAGTGTTCTAAGAAACATTAATATGTTTGGAACTGTTTTTTTTTCATAAAAAATAGTGTTTTAAGCCACATCTTAAAAATCAAAAAAGCAAAAGAGTGGTTTAGAGTAATATCGAATTTAACATTTTTTAAGATTAGATTTTATTGTTGCCAACGCAGACATGATGTATCAGTGACGTAGATTTCTTATAATAAGTACTAGTGCTGAAAACAGATATATATATATATATATAGAGAGAGACAGAGAGAGAGAGAGAGAGAGAGCACTGATATCAAATAAAAGGTGGTGTTGTTGTTCTAGAAAACATCATACCTGTCAACAATGTTTCCAAACAAAAAGAAGACATTGATTTATCAAAAAATGATACTTCCAATCCACACATATATATGTAGCATCCATATCAAACATATACAAAGAAATCCAGTTCTAACTGATTTCAATTACTATGAAAAATATACAATTTCAATTCTAATTTGGATTCCAATTCCAATTTCGACTGTGTATCAAATGGACCCTAATATCTTTAACTTGGAAACATTCTTGCCCTACTGTTGTTGTTAACAAAATTCCATATTTAGGAGGCGCAACCTGTGTGCTAAATTCTAGAAGACTTACATTCACTGTAGACACAGTAGGCCCGTGAACATATGCATGCATGCACGCCCCATTCTAAGACTTCTGATGGATCTGGATCATTGCTTGAACATGGACCATTACCTATTTATGTAATAATCTGATCTGAATATTTTTTCTTTATTTTTCTTCTTTTAATTTTTCGATTTAAGGCCTTATGGCAAAGGATCTGATCTGAGTTGATAATATTATCATTGCCTCAAATAATTTTTAGGTTGTATTTGACATTTCTTATTTTAAGGATTTATCTTCTTTTCAGTTAAAATACTTTTATAAACTAAATATTTAATATAAAAAAAGAGATAAATCCTTTAAAGTAAAGAATACCAAATGCAGCCTTAATCAATAAAAGGGAATTAGGCAATATGATTTTGGTTTTGTTTCCAAAAAAACAACTGTCCCAAAGCAAAACTATACTTGTTTTAAGAAACAAAATCATATCCCACTTTTATTTCCTCCAATTTTGGTTGATTTTATGAAAGGATTCGTAATCAAGATCCGATCCAAATTTTCCGGTCAACCTCATTTAGGTATTTCTAATCTTGGCAATGGTGTTGAAATAGTTTTCACTGTTTTTCAAAATGAATCTCGATGACAAAAGARGACACTAGCTCTCTCCTTAGCTGTTTTCATTTTTTAACTGAAAACCATTATTCTACGTGCGAATGCTCTCGTCTTCAAAAGCAAGATCATTCTCAGTCACTTTCTCTCTTACTTGCTCGTCTAAACATTTTGAATTCCGAAACAGAGAATAGTGGAGACCATTTTCTTGGCACACTCCCCAAGGAGAAAACGGTCCGGGTCCGGGTCCGGGTCCGGGTCCGGGTGCGAAAATCACCCTAAATATGCAATCAGATAAGATTGGACCTAACTACACTTTTTACTTGAATTCACCAATTGGCAACATTATCTACTTGTCATCATCATTTAGCATGAATGATTCACCATTGCCACTATAACATTTTAATTTAAGAAACTTAGGTCCCGTTTGGTTTATTGGAATAGGGTTTAGAATCGGAATGATTCATTCCAATTTTGTCTATTTGGTTGGATGGAATTAGAATCTGATTCTCATTTCTGGTGGAATAGTATTTCCCTATTTTGGGAATGAAATCGCATTCTAGCTTATTTTAATTCCTATTCTAATTCCTGTTTGAACCAAATAAATTATGGGAATAAACTTTTTCAAATCCTGTTTGAACCGAACAAATTATGAGAATGGATCTTTCCGGTTTCGGTTCGGACTGCAAATCAAAACTAACCCTTATTGTTATTTTTTGGGGTGAGAAAAAAAGGTTTATTATTATTTCAGATGAATTGCTTTGGGATCGAATTGAAATCCACTTAGCACCCAATTTTATTAAGTTCTTTACATTTTCCAACAATACATTAATTAGTTCTTTAAAAAAAGAAAAATACAAATGTCCACCACCTAAAAGGTCCCTTTCTTTATTGGTAAGTCATTTATTTGGATAAATGCACGTATGCACTTATCCCATGTTATTTTTATCAAAAGTATTTTTCATATAAGTTAAACAATTAATCATATTATCCATAAAATTTTATTATATGAAGGGCAACTTTATTCTATAGTGCTTTGACAATTATTTTCTATATTAAAAAGTTATTTATTCACTTAGGAGGAGGACCTATGATATAGGATCTACAATTATTAAAAACCAAATATGAAAATTATTGGTCAATTAAAACAAAATTCCTAATTAATTTTCTCCTCTCCATAAAACTTAATTTTTTCCCTTTTCTTTTCTGGTTATATATATCTGGAACTTTTATGAGGCCTTTGATAATAGCTAAGGTGACTGAACTTAATGGCTTTTTTCATTGTCTTGGCCGTTTTGCTGAACTGAAGAATTTATTGCTTTATCTTTTAATAGATAAAATAATTAAATAACCGTATATTTAAAATATATTAATCTATACAATTTCAGAGTTCAGCCATTAAAAACCCAGTATCTTTTTAAAATATTATTCACTAAAAGACAAAGCAATGAGCTATTACTTCAGTCACTTCAGCTGTTACATAAGAGCATACAAGTTTTTAAGAGGTTGTTAGCTCATCAATGGCTGAAACTGAAATTAATGAATTACTATATCCTCAAAATATATACTTCATTATTTTATTCACTAGAAAACAAAGCAATAAATCATTCAATTCAATTCAGCCACTTCACCCGACCATCAAACGGGAAACGGCTCTTTAATCTCGATGGTCAAGTGGCAATAGCAACCACCAAATTAGAATAATCAAAGTCTAAGCTTAATCGGTTAACCCTTATATTATATTTACCTGATCATTTCTATAATAGTTTCAGACCCTCGATTAAACACCTTAATCGATGAAATCCCTAATTGACCAATAGGGCTGTTCATAAGAAAGCCCAACTCGATCAAACCGATCAATCTGGACCAACCCAATCTGAGTTAGCCAAGTTTTCATCAATACGAGTTGGTTTCAGGTTGTGCAAATTTCTAAACCGATGATTTGGGTTGGTTTCGGGTTTTATACAAAAAAATCGAAACTGACCTGAACCAAACCGATTTAATTCTTAGTTCAAACATGAAGTTCCAAAACTTATTAGGTTACCTAGTTTTTGAATGGTTGCAAAAAACTTTGGATTAGTGAATAGTGATTAACGAACAACTTTTGTGATTAACTTTTCATTTAAATTTTATCATAGGAGATGGCTGAAATGATGTTCAATTTATGACTGTTTTTAAAATTAGCAAGATTTTATCACAGTGATGAACTTAGAACCGAAACCGATCGAAATCGATCCAATCTGATTCAAACCGACCAGGTCGGTTTTGCTTAACACTAGGTCGATTTCGGTTTCTATGTCAGGTAACCCGACCAAGTCGAGTCGGTTAAAAAAACCACAATAAACCGACCCAACCCGACCCATAAACAACCCTATCGACCAACATGGGTTCACATGTCAGTAATTCTATATCACGAAGGCGTTTTAATAATTCTACAACTCATTGTTATTTTATTAATAAATTAAAAATAATTTAATCTTGAATTTTGATACCATTAATGAAGTTAAGTAATTGCTGTTTTCATAAAAATGTTGAAGTAAATGCTTATAAGCCTTATATAGTTGGAGGCATTAGGGATTCCGGAGTTTGAAACTTGGAATGGAGTGGAGTCGACATCGACATCGACACAACTCGTTCATCCCTGAAGGAGATAAAAATCCGCTGTTTGAATAGCCCACTGGAAAGCTTTGCATGGCCCCTGGTTTCTTCCCTCCCAAAACAAATAATATTTTCATCAAAGCCCTAACGTGTCTCCCTTTATATGCCCTTCTCCATCATCTTCAATAGGGAACCCAGTCCCCACCTCTCTCTTTCCTTTCTCTCTCTCTCTCAAACATCCAACAGTAACCAAAACAACCTTAATAAACTAACCCAAAAATATCAATCCACCTTCACTCTCCTCTCTTTCTCTCTCTCTGTCTCCACAACACTATTATAGATTGTTTCATGGACGTATTCTGATTGTCCTCGTCGATACCCATCTCTTAATTCTTCATTTTATTGGGTATCTCGCGATACCCATCTCGGATTTACTGCGGCCCCTTCCCCTCTCTTGCCCCTTCTGGTTCTGAGTTCTCTGTTTTAATTAAATGAGGATCGAAACGAACTTGATCGATCGTAAAGGGCAGAATTTTCGAGATTTGCCCAAGGAGAAGAAGAGCAACGGCAACAATAACAACAAATCGAAGAAAGGCCGGAGGCGTCAAAAGAAACCGACGGAGAGCGTCGTTAAGGAGCTTCTCCGGACGTGCAAGGAAGTGTTTGCCAGAGGTGGTGCCGGGATTGTTCCTCATGCCAAGGATGTTGAACGACTACGGTCGGTTCTTGGTACGAGCTTCCGTTTCTCTTGTTGTTTGGTGACGTAATTCAAGTTATTCAACTACTAGTGCTTCTGGTCTTCTTTCCTCTTGTTTGTTTATTGGGTGTTTTCCTTTTTATTTGGTTGTGCCTCAAAATTAAGAACTCCATATATTCATATTTGAAAGTTTACATATAACATAGCTTCAGGACAATTCAATAATAATTGAATTACATTGTTATCTTTCTCGGAATTACAGCTGCTGGTTTGTTGCTTTGGGAGTTGGGTTTGGTGCTTCTCTTCTCTAGTCATCCTTGTTAGTACACTCCAACCTTACCTTACGAGAGTATTCTAATAACTTGGTCTTGTTTCTCTTCCCTGATCAGAAATGTTTCCACCCAATTTCTTAAGTTGCCTTTCTTTTTTCAGCTTTTAGCTTCACTTTCCTTGTTGTCTATGAGGCATGAAATCATATTTCATTTCATTTCATTTTTTAATTTATTTATGCACCTTTCTGTGGGACATGTTGATTACTACTCCATGCCTGAGAACTCTTTAATTAAGAAGTAATTAGTACAAATTCGTTATTTTTTCCCTCTTGTATATATCAGTTGTTATGGCTGTAGCTTCGGGTGCCTGTTAAATCAATGGACCAGTAAATTCTTAACCTTTTCTATGGTTGTCAACTTTTGTGGAATTTTGTCGCTTGCTTGTTGCTATGAATTTTCTTTTATTGGGTTGTGTTTAATCTTTCCCATTTGGGTCGTGTTTGTCTCCTCCTTACGTTTAGGGGATGCATAACGTGAAAACGCGCGTACACATAAAATTGAACTTCGTTTTAGAGGCTCCATGGATTCTATACGTGAATGCAATGTGATTTTTATATTCCTAATAACACTAAATACTCCCTCAGATGTAAATTCTTCCTGTGCTTGTGGATCTTGGTTTTTGATCTGACCCCATCATAGATTCAGCATCATGAAATCATTGACTATCTTTTGGATTTTCAACAACACATATGGCTATGATTCCCAACTTTTCCATTTACCTTCTTGTGCTGATCTTTATTGGATCATGTAGCTAAAAAGCCCTTGATCAGAGCAAAGCAGCAGATAATGAACAAATCCAAAACCAATAATTTTCTTCTATTGGATATATGTATGATAAATATTGCCTCTACATACATACAATCATGCACCAGTTGCATATGCATTATCATAATGAGCGTGTAAGCATCGTGAGACATAAACATACAGCTATTGATCATATCTGGATTATGATCTACATAGTTGACTTGATTGGAAACTGGTAAGTGATGAAAAAACAAGGTGTTAATTATAAGTCTTGAGTAAATTCTACTTATAAATGGTTATGATCAAGTTGAATAAGGGTAGTTGAGGAAGAAGATAGGTATACAATCTAGACTATTGATCTAGATTGGTTCGTCTGTGATGCGAGGGAAGAATGTTGGGGAGTGAGCACCTATAAAAGGACACTTGATGGAAAGACCTGTACATACAATGATATATACATTTGTTAAGATCCATGAAAAAGAGGAAAAAGATGCATTTGTTAAGTAAATCCTCGTCCCCCTCTCCCTTGACGTAGTGGATTTCTAAGGTGGAAAGATCTTTGTCCTCTGCTTTACCTGCTTTATTCTTCTTTTATGTATGTTGGTACAAAAAAACAAGAAGGAATGCAACAAGTCCATTTGATCCCAGATCCATAACCATTTTTGGTGTCCTGGCTTGTAGCATTACCAAAATACTACGTTCAGTTGATGCCTTTTGTTTCTCTTTGATGCTTACATGATTAACTTTTCATGTGTAGATGGGATGCAACCTGCAGATGTGGGCTTGAGTCCTGCCATGCCATATTTTAAGACAGTTGAGACTGAAGGTGCTCCTCCAATAACATATCTACACCTCTATGAATGCAATAAATTTTCGGTATGTCAGGTTTTCTGGAGACTTTAGGAATTTTGATTAAATATTAGTTAGTTTACATGGAAACTAGTTTTATTTTTCTGTGTTGAAATCCCTTGATTTCTTGCAGATTGGGATATTCTGCTTGCCACCATCTGCCGTCATCCCATTACATAATCATCCAGGCATGACTGTTTTCAGTAAGCTACTCTTTGGGACCATGCACATCAAATCGTATGACTGGGTAACCGATGTGCCTCATAGCACAAACCAGAACCCCAACCCTTCAAACTGTAAGATTTCTCAAGTTCAACTTGACTGTTCAGATTTTACCTGTAAAAAAACACCAGAAACTATCTTTCTCACTAATCTATTTATCTCATTTTTCTCAACTTAGTTTTGAAACATAAATGGGCCTGTGATTTTACTTTTTCTGTTTTTCTTAATTTGTTTTGCAATACACCGAGTGAGGACAATGTTGGTGTTTTTGGGATGTGGGAGAGTTTTTAATCTTTATGGATACCCGATGTTGGTCCCAGCAATCTGGGGCTAGGAGGAGTGGACTGGATATCGACCCAACTTTTTTTATTTATTTTTTTATTTTTTTGGGCACAAAGTGTCTGGTTTCAGACTTGAGGCTGCATTCTCACACCTGTCTACCTAAGATTTTACCATTACTCCAAGCAATGGGTTTGACGTAAAAAAGTAGTCTAAATAATCAGGGATATCCTATTTCTCCCTTGTTGACCTACTGTGAAGGTTTCTTGACAACAAAAAAGTGTTCTTTTGGTTATGAAACTCTTTCAGGAAATCCATTCTGAAAGAGCAATGGATAAAATCATTCACGAGTATTGTATTTGGGGGAAGAAACAAATGAAAATGATAAAAACCAATGAAAAATTCAAGTGTTAAAAGCTTAAATAATTTAATGGATAAAATAATCATATATCTATTGATCCTACTTTATGCAATATACCTGTTGCATTGGCTGAACTTAGCTTTTTTGCTTTGTCTTTTAGTGGATAAAATAATCATGTAATGAAATATATAGGGGCAAAATAGTCATCTCAATTTCCAGTACAACAATTAAGGAGCTCACGACCTCCTTGCTGGCTTATCCATTAAAGACAAAGCAATAAGGAATTTATTTCAGTCAATTCAGCAGGTATCATACGAACCCTTAGTCTGCATTGGCTTTTGGTGTCTTTGGGCCAAGGATCAACTTGGTTGGCTTATCCTCAAAAGTTAATATTACTAATTTTCTGGATTGTCCACCTTCTCCAGTGTCTAAAGAATAAAGGCAAATGGTTTGGGTCATCCAACTGGTTCTAACATCATGACTTCTGTTGAAAGTCGAAGTTGTGAGGATGGTTCAATTGTTGCTTTCAAAGCCGTTTTAAGTGTTGCACTCAATTTGTCAATCTTCGTCTTAGCTCCTTCTCAATAACCCTTCAACTTCTGCAAGTTGTGTTTACTCTGTTGATCTTTTGCTTTTTGTTAATTATTGCAGGTCAGCCCACTGGGATTCGGTTGGCTAAGATTAAGACTGATTCAGACTTCACTGCCCCATGTAATACCTCCATACTTTATCCTGCTGCTGGAGGCAATATGCACTGTTTCACAGCAATAACATCCTGTGCTGTACTGGACGTGCTGGGTCCCCCATATTCTGATCCAGAAGGCCGACATTGCACATACTATCGTGACTTCCAATACACCAGCTTTTCAGGTATCTTCTTTTTAATTTTTGGATTTGCTTTATTGGGTTTTGCTGTTTGGTTTGAGTAGGATGAAATGGTAATAGTGAAGCTGGACTACTTGGAGAGAACAGAACATTGTTCCCTAACTTGATTCTAGTTAATAAAACCCACAGACCCAGGCATGCATGCCGCTCTTGAACAATTTTGGACAGGAGTAGGATGTGCAATTGGTGATCCATCACCATCATTAGGATTATCTGGAGATGGGACTTTTGTTTCTCTCTCCTGAGTCCTGACATATTATCCCAAACTACCTTTTGTGTTTACAGAAACTCCCATCAAAGGGATAGGCCAAAATTCTTCACATTGTGTTTTAAGAGGGGTATTGTGTAAAATTTTCAGGTGATGCAGAGTTGGTACCTGAAGAGGAAAGAGAGGGCTACGCATGGCTGGAAGAGAGAGAGAAGAAACCAGATGACTTGAATGTAGTTGGAGCGATGTACACAGGCCCAAAAATTGTGGGAAACTGACTATATAAGGATCTTCCTTCTCCTCATTACTTGGCTCTACAAAATTGTCAGACACTGTTCAGTCAGTTCCTCCTCTTGGAGGAGTTTCATGGTCTCTTGGAAGTCAAGGGGCTCTCTTTCTCTCTACAGCATGTGTACATAAACAAAAGAAGAAAAAAAGAAAAAAAACATGGAACGCATCGGATATTTCTTCTTGTTCATCTTCTCATTACTCTACATGGGTCATTTTCTTTCATTTACTTCTGATGGGTCACCGAACGGCGAGTTTCACAGTTGTGGGGAAGCGGGATATCTTGTACCAGAAACAATTTTAAGCCATTTTCAAAGGAAAATGAAATGTGATCAGTAATAGAATGAAAGAAAATGATGATTTGATTTATGTTCATTGAATTGTAGATTTCTTGTGAGAAATGTATGTATATTTAAGACGGGCCTTTGCCCTCTAGTCACGGGGGTAGTTCTGCAGCGAAAGAAACTTGTGCGGCGTTCAGGTTAAGGTAGGTCAGGACAAGCTTTTGTGTGATGCGAGGTTAGGAGTTGTCTGATGAAATGGTTCCACCAAGGTCAGTAGTACTGGATCATGACCTTAAGTCACATAGTCGGGGCTCTCGGTTGGTTCTTGTCGGTCCATGGGAGGTGCTTCTTATGTGTTAAAGGGGGAAGGCTATGATGAGAGGCGACTTGGTGCCGATGTAAAGGGACTCCTGTATGCCGATGATGATGGGCACCTGTGTGCTATGTTGATAGGCAATCGTTGGGCTGGAACACACTCGTGCATTATGGGCAATGAGATAATTCATTTAGCTTAGGTAAGGGACTGGTGCGGTGAAGGGGTCATAATTGAGTCAGGCCCGAATGCCAACCCTCCCTTGAGTGTCGGTAGCGCAATGCCGGTCCATGCATTGTCTCCATGAGCATGTGTGCGCCCATGAGGAACCCTAGTAGCCATGCTAGCCATTAACCAGGGCCGCCCCATAAGGGATGTTGGTTTAGGAGTGCCAAGGTTAGGCACCCAAGGAAGTCGACCACCCCTCCTCAATGAGTATGTTAAGATTTTAGAGGTTTGCCTGAAGATGCCATCAATTCTCCCAAAAATTTTGCAGGCGAAAATGACAATGGTGTCTCTTAACGTAAGGGACCGTGACAGGCTCCCCCACTCGATCCATTGTTGTCATCGACAATGTAGTTGTCGATGGTGTCTCTTAATTTTACACCATCCATTTGTCTAGCAGTTCCTGGGCTCGCCTGGCCAACCCGGGTCTTGCCTATGTTGGTATCTATTTATGGGGATGAAACCATTTCATCATGCCGGTCTGCTTAAACTTCACCCCCAGTATTGAGGTTACTCAAATCGCGCGATGGCTATGCCGTTGAAAGTGTGAAAGATGAGCCATCGAAGAAATTGTGTTGCTTCGCGGAGGTCCACCCCATGCATCATCTTTACCTCAAGGCTTGACTGTCTTCTTAGTAGCTTTTCGGTGGTGCTACCGAACACGATGTAATAGGTCTACTCCTATTGTTGGCGATGTATCCTGAGTACCCTTTCACCATGCTGGCCTGTAGACTTCACATCGCCGTGTGCGGGTTATTCAAACCTAGTCTATGGCTTATGCTCTATTGGCCCTCAAAACTACACTTCACCTCGCCGGTTCGGGCTACATCTTTGATTCGAGGGGCCCCAATGTGCTGCTGCCTCAAGGAGATCTGACCACAATGTGCGCGAGTGTGGCAATTTTTACCCATGATGTTGCTAAACATACACTCGCCTTGTGATGTGTTGTTGCTGCGAATGTTTCACCTTGTTGTTAAGCTGAGCATGTCCTCTGATGCATTGCCAGTGTAGGGCCGCCATGCTTCAACGGCTAGTGTACCCACATTCCTATCATTCCAATATTGTGGCTTCAACCAATGACCCATTCTATGCAAAACTGCCACTTAAGTGATATTCCTTGACCAACCATCGACACAAACCAATTAAGACTGCTGTCTATTGCCTTAGTAGTGCCTCTGACAAGCTACGAAACAATGACTCATCCCTCATGAAACCAAGATGTAGGCGCACCGCCCATAACTCACTAAAATGAACAACAACTGATGTCCGTGAGGAAGCATGGCACTCCCCCACTCAAATTGCCACAATATGCCTTTCATGTAATGGCTCATGCGTCTGCCCCCGCAATGGCGCTGTTTTAGGGTCATTGGAATGGGGACACGATGAATGGCCTCTTATTAGGCCTGATGTGTATGCTTGTTTGCTTGTACCCGAGTGGAAGTGCCTAGGGACCGCTTCAACTRGCTCTATGCTGATCTGCTCTGATACCAACTGCGGCAGCAGTTGGTTAGCTCGCTTTGATACCAATTGTCACGGGGGTAGTTTTGCAGTGGAAGAAACCCATGCGGCGTCCAGACTAAGGCAGGCCAAGACAAGCCTTTGTGTAATGTGAGGCTAGGAGTTGCCCGATGAGATGGCTCCACCAAGGTCAGTAGCTTTGTATCATGACCTCAAGTYGCATGGCCGGGGCTCTCGGCTGGCTCTTGCCGGTCTATGGGAGGCGCCTCTTACGTGCTAAAGGGGGAAGGCCATGATGAGAGGCGACTTGACGCCGATGTGAAGGGACTCTTATATGCCGATGATGATGGGCACCTATGTGCCATATTGATAGGCAATTGTTTGGCCGAAACACACCCGTGCGCTATGGGCAACATGATAGCTCATTCAACTTAGGCAAGGGACTGGCATGGTGAAGGGTCATACTTAAGCCAGGCCCACATGCCAAGCCTCTCTTTAGTGTCGGTAGTGCAATGCCAGTCTATGCACTTTCCCCATGAGCATGTGTGCGCCCATGAGGAACCTTGGTAGCCATGATAGCCATTAAGCAGGGCCGCTCCGCAAGGGACATTGGTCTAGGAATGCCAAAGTTTAGGCACCCAAGGAGGTCGACTACCCCTCCTCAGAGAGTACATTAAGTTTTTAGAGGTCTACCTGAAAAAGATATCAATTCTTCCAAAAATCTTATAGGCAAAAATAACGATGATGTCCCTTAACATAAGCCTGCCAAGCATAAGCAAAACTAAACCTGTATCAGACCGTGACACTTTGTCAATGACAAGGCATAGTCGCTCATAAATTTGATCACAGTATCACACCGTAGGAGGAGATCCCAACCGTAAAATGATAGTAATAGCCGAGTTTCGTCGCTTACCAAAGTCCCAAGTCCCAACGGCGTCGAAAATCTTTTAGTTACATAAGCATAAATTCGTTGTTTACTAGCATCATTCCTTTGGATTAATATATTTTTAATGCATGAAACGCGTGGAGTTTAGTGGGGGACCGACCCATTAATGCCCGGCCACAGACCACAGAAACAGTAGCGTACCCAGAAAGTAGGGGAAACAACACTACCGTCTACAGTCTACAGGGGCGCCCATTTATTTCGAGTTCCACTCTACTCACTATGGGCATTGAGCAGGGGCAGGACAGCAGCTGACAAGCTGTAGCATTCATTCTTGTATTGCTAGTTGCTGCCACCGCGCCCCATGTATTTCCAGTTTTACTATGAGCTTGATGAATAAATTACTCTTTATATGTGTCTCTGGATTCCACTTGTACTAATACCTCCATGTGACGCTGGTTTCTTTCTTATTCTTTTCCTCTCTTGTTTGGATTTAATGTATTCCCCCTTTATTTTTTCACAAATACAAATAAAAGTATCAGATAAGAAAATTGAATACATACAATACAAGTTGGCACTTAACGATAATGATGCCACATATCACGTTATGTGAATTTCATTCTTCACGGGTCATTATGTTTATCTGATTTTTTATTGTTCATTGTTGAGTTGGGATTTTATTTTGGTAAAATCTATGATGCCAAAAATATATAATACTTCAAAAGATTTGACCAATCAAAACTTTCCGTAAATTTTAATGAAAACCTATGTGATTTGTTAACTTTTGTGATGTCAGTTAAATGATTGCAAGTTTTTTTGATCAGTTAAATGAATTTTTTTTATTATGCAACTTTTTAATATAATAAATAGAACTCATGGTGGAGCCGTAATCATATCGCAGTTTGGTTTTGGGTTCAAAATTTGAATTTTTCATATTGTATTTGGTTCTAAGGAAAAGATAAAAAAGGTAGGGAAATTTATACAAACCTAATACAGGCCAAGCGAACCTATACAAATCTACAGGTTTCCTACCATTCCCTTCCTTTCCCTAACTTTTCCTCCAAACCACAGTCTAAGCAATACTGGTTTCACTATTTAATTTGAAGATAGAACCTGGTTTCTTTAGGAGTAAGCTTTTATATTATATATTTATAATTTGTGTATCTTTTATGTTACTGATATTATTTTAAATAAAAATGTTGTAGATAACTAGATATGATGCAATGTTTTGACTTTTGTTTAGAATTTCCTTCTTAATGTCATATGCTTGTAGAGAAGAATTCAAGAATTCAAGCCTGAGTCCGAATCTGAGTCTGAGAGCGGAAATCCATTTGCAAATCCACTACTTTCCAGACTTTTGCTATTTGGTTTCGTTCACCTTTTTAACTGATCCTCCAACTGGGATTTTTTTTTTAGATTTTTTCTTTCTAGAATTCACCAGTTTCTCACCTCCGTTCAATGTTTGTGTATCTGTTTGTCCCGATTCAAATTCGAATCCAATATGGTCAAGGCAATCCATATCGTATCCATTTAAAAATGTGGATCGGATAAGATTCACTTTAATCCAATCTCACGTATATTTGCCCAAGTGCAATAGCTTCCAAGTTTCATCATCAATATTCGCAATATGCATTAAATATAAGAATCCCACAGAGGTCCTGTAGGATTCCAACGGGTAAGATTAGATTCGGATCCGAATATTAGCCGATAAAATTGAATCTAGTTATACCCAATTCGAACGTAGTCAGTCGGCCAGATTTCTGTAATTTATTTCTTGGTTATCCATTAACATCTCTTCTTTTTCTTCTTCACCTTCTCTAAATCATTTGTGGAGAGTATTACAGCTTCCCCAACCTAATTCACCAATATTTCGCTCGATGGAAGTAACCTCAGCAAGTCAGCATCAATCCTATGGCCGGACCATTCATGGAACATGGTCCCTTCCAGCCTGGACGCTTGAGATGATGGGTTTCTGATAAAGAACAAAATTCTTGGAACTTGGGTAATTCAAAGCATTTCAATTTTGAAGTTCTTTCAAGTAAGAATCTTCTGACTGAGCCTGATTCAGTCATTTGACCCTTCACAGCTGAGAATAATCTTAACTGGTATTGAAAAGATTCCCAGAATACAAAGACGTCTCAGTCGCAGAGATTCAGATTTGTACTTATCTAACTGCATAAAGCTATGCGGGAAAGTAACAATTTAAATAAAACTTCTTTAAAATACTGTTCCATTTTAAAATGATTTCTCTATTACTATTTCTCGAGTGAAGCTTCAAGGCAATACAGTTTCTATTAGTTCTACTTTTAAAATTAAAACACCTCCATTATAATTGATAAATATAGAAGTTCTATCAGCAATCTCTCTCTCTCTCTCTGTACTAACCACCAGCCTGGTCGTGATGAACTGATGATATTTGACGTCTTGACCTCTATATACTGTCACTCTTCTACAGGTGAGGACACTTTTCCATCCCCACCACAAGGAAAAAAACTATTAAGAATTGAAGACCTGCTTAGTAGGTTTGGGAGGACCGGAGGTTGTAAAAAAAGGGTGGGTCGTCCCACCTCTCTGATTTATCTGTCAATGATTATTTTTCAAATTCCGTTTACAATGGTGCTTCTATCGTGTTCTATCTTATAATCGGAATAAATAGCTTCAACCTTGTTTTCTGTAAGTTAACTTATACCAAAGAAAAAAAGCAAAAATACTGCCCCTCTGTTCCTTGTGGCTATCTAGGTGGACGGTGGGATCTCCCAGTCCTGAGGCAAGGGACCTACATCATATATGATTTCTCTATGGCAAGACCACACGAGCTTTATTGCTTCTGGAGTCCCAATTCCTGCACCCCGGGGGTCTCCAGCTGGTCCAAACCTGGAAAAACCATTGTTTCGGGTCATTTATAAACACTTTCAGCGTATCTATGAAAGACATCACTAACAAACACTTACCAATGATTCTGTGGAGCTCCAGTGGTTCTGGCACGAATACCAGCATATGTAGTCCCGTTCACAGATTTCCCCAGGACATCCTGCACAAGTTCTCATGATCATGAGTTTCTTAGAATAGAATAACAAATGTATTAAATGATTCCAGTTGCTTTTCACTTCCATGGGTGAATACTAAAATCTCTATTAATATGTGCTTCCTCCAAGTCATCAAAGAGTTCTATTACAAAATTACCAGGCTAATCAAGTTCATCAGAGTTCTAACTCGAGTATGTTGTCGAACAGACAGAACTAATGCTCATTCTTATGCGCGTACACACACACACAAGGCACCAAGGCAAAGTCACGCAATAGGGGGAGTACCTTGTGGCCTAGTCATCTAGGCAGGTTGCAGGTGCCCAAGCGATGATTTTTTTTTAAATAAAAAAATAAAAAATCCTAGGGTAGTTACCTAGGTCTCATAGTAATAAGCAGTAATCTTTTACTAATAATTACCATAATTCTCATGAAATAAGTATAAACCCCATATCAAAAGATAGAAATTAAATTACTTATGCAAAGAAAAATAATAAAGAAAAGAAAACACACAATAAGGATTGAGCCCTTGTTTTGGTCATAGGAGAAGTTGTCCTATTGATTCTTGTAGTGTCATCTTCAAGTATATGAATAATAATATCAATACTATAAACCCAGAATATGAATAATTTAGTCTAATAATATCTATTGTACTACTATTAATAACATAAAATGAAAATATAAAAATATTATGTGGTGTCTTACATATAAATATATAGGTGTTTGGGAAAACACCTTAGAATCTAAGCATTGCCTAGGCATCACCTTGACAACTATCAGACACACACACACATTCATCATCTACCAATATAAGCTTAGTACCAATTATTTAACACCAAAAGTATTGATACTCAACTACTCCTTTCATGCATGTATGTGCTATTCCATATATGTTCCTCTCAAGTCTTAACAAAACTTGATGCCAATCAATGGGCAAAAAATTGAACCCAAGAGTTACATAGAAGCCATGGTTGTCAATGGTCATGAGAAGATCTTCAGAAGCCTCCTTGGCTATCAACTGCAGCAATGATAAGAGTAACTTAAAGTAGTTTTCCCATTACTTCGAAATGGAAAAAGGTCATTTCAATTTGAAGTTTTAAGGGAAACACTTGCCCGACGGTCTTTAGTTGCCAAGTTCCTGACAATTCTTTCTTGTTTTTCATGTATCTAGATGATATATAATATAATATGTAGTATATTAAAACGGTAATACCTCAATTGAAGAGCATAATCAAGTAATCAACAAGCCTAACAATTAAAACATGCATCTACAGCAATGGGATGACCATTATTTGTCAATTTTAGTATATGAGCAAGGTAAATTTGAATCCAAGAGGAACAGCAGTGCCAAAAAAAGCCATTGGTTGAAGTAGAAAGAAATGATTTAAGTGCCAATAATTTCGCAACAGATATGGCATTAAATAGAATGGAATGGTGAAACAGGATTCATGTGGCTGACCTGATAATGGTTGGGATAAGGCTTTGGTGATAACGAGGAGGAACAGCAGTGGATCCTGTTTGTTGCTCATGTGATGGGACCGCAAAAGGACTGATTATGATCCACTGGTGATAGAATTTTGATAGGGGAATATCTTTAGGGTCTAAGGCCTAACACAAGTTCTTTGTTGTTATTCAGTTACATGAAAGACATTCAGTATCACTTGCAGCATGCGATGTGATTACAAAAGGGCTGCATTATGATCCAATTGGGATTCAACTCATTTTAGCCGGATCTAGATGGCCAATGAATCTGGTTGGATCAAATTTGGATAGACCCCAATCTGATCCACTATAATCTTATCTGATAATATATTTATGTTTGTGTAATGATTAATTTAATGATGATTTTGGTTTAGCTGAAATTGATTCATGTAGATGGAGACATTAGGTTAAACTAATAGTGCAAGTTATTATTTGCATGCTTTATGTTTAACTTTCTAGGTTTATGTACATATTTATTGAGATCCAGATCAAATCAGACAGACAGATGTTTAATTAAGTCCAATTTGGATAAGTTTTCAATGATCTTTCAGATATCAAATTGAATTTGGATATCCCGGATTATCTTATCTGATTGGTTTTGGATATGCTGCTATAGTCCTACTAGTATGTGAACGCAAAGAAATTAAATGAACACTACTAACTCCACATATACTATATTAGAAAAGAGATTCGGGCATGAACAAATATCACAGAAATGCCCTAATACTAGAAATAAAGGTTAAATTGAAAAAAAAAATCAATATTATAACTAATGATTCTTGCCTGTAGAAACTGGGGATCATTTGAAACCACGGCTGCCGTCAAGTGTGCATGCATCCTCTCAAGAGCATCCAACACCTTTGGAAGTTGCTCTTGTTTATAATCAGTAACAATCTGAACAAAAAAAGAAAAGAAAAAATTATCAACAGTATAAATCTAATATTTGTACATACCATGGTTTACCAGTAGTTTTCTTTTGGTCCCATTTGGAGTTACATATGCAAGGCTTTGACAGATGAATGAAAACCTTTCTGAGGCATTGTACAGAAATGGAAATTCAACATCAAGAGTCAATAATGTATTCCATTACTTGATAGGAAAAAGTGAGTGCTCAGAACTGGATTATAAGCCAGATCCTTTTAAGCTTCTTTCTTTTCTATATCAAGAAAATCTTATTTCCTTCTGAGAATTAAATATCATGGTTGTGCAACCAGAAACATAAATCTTACCTGGAATGGTCCAAAGATTTCCTTTCTAACAAGCTCATAATTGTTGTCTTTCAGCATTTCATCAAGTGGAACATAAACGGCTGTTGGTTTGATAGCGCCATATATATTTGGAATAGAGTGGTTTTTCAAAGGTTCACCACCAAATAGTAGCTTTGACCCTGGTAACTCCAACACTTTGTTTATGTGTTCTAGCATTTTTTCAGTTGTACACTACAAAAAAGAAAAAGGAGAAGTCTCTATAAATGAATGAAATTGATATTTAAGTCCATCAATACCATAAACAATTCCACCCATCTTACAACATAGATCCCCATTACACAGGATGAACATGCATGGGGGGTGACCCACAATTCAATGGATATTATTATCCAACCCAAAGAGTATGATCCTAATGTGTGTTGAATCCCATTTTCATTGAATTACTTCTTTCTTTATTTCTTATTTATTAATTTGGTTACTTTTAGTTCATTATGCATGATTTCTACTCATCCAAAAGGTTATGACAAACTGGACATATCAACCAAGTATTCTAATTATTTATGTAAATCATTTAATTTCATGTATGACACGAGATAATACAGAATGACAGCAGAAGGATCTTACAGTAAGAACAGGGCCAATAGTTAAATCTTCCAGCTTCCTTCTCTCTGCAAGATCTTTCAATTTAGAAATAAGTGAAGTTGTAGCCCAATTCTGCATTGAGATGTATAATCTGTGTTAGAAGAAAGAAACAAAGAAGAATGATTAAGTTGAAGCATCAGACAAAATATACCCCACTCTCCACAGAAAATAACTTAAAAGTATTAACAAGGTTTCTATGAAACAAATACCAGCCTGCCTATGTACTGGAGCAAATTTGCAGGTGGGGTAGTTCAGGGAAGAAACCCAAATAATGGAATCTTTGATGTGGCAAGATGGTTGGGGTCCCAAAAGGCTCCATATGTTCCTCTTACTCCTTTATTCATGGGGCAAATTTCAGTCCATGAAGACTTTCTACATGGCACCCTAACCATGTTGCATATGGAAGATTCAAAGGTTGTTTAGACTAGCAAAATTATCCATATCTATCCTTTGTTGTACATTTTGGATGAACATGGGGAGGGAGGGTACCATTGCCAAGATACACCATCAGAGGATTTTGCACAGTGCTAGTCTAAAAAACCTTTGAGGAGGTCACCTGCAAAAATATCTCAATATTGTAACTTTTTAATTTCACCTCTTTCCGTCCATGTGATATTTTATGGATATCTCATGTCTAATACATTCCTGTTACCCCTTTCATGGGGAAAAATTCAGCCCAAGAAGACTCTACATGGCACTGAAACCATATTGCATATGGAAGATTCAAAGGTTGTTTAGACTAGCAGCGCTATCCATATCTATCCCTTGTTCTACATTTGGGATGAACATGTGAAGGAACGGTACCATTGCCAATATACACTATCAGAGAATTTTACACATACTTATAGCACAAAGGGTCTACTGTGAGAATATTTAACAGAAACTGCTGACCTCGTGCATGAATAGAATTGATTGTGCAGAACATTTTTGACCACTACATGCATATGCATCTTGGTCACAGACCCATGCAACATAATCAACCTGCAAGTTAAAAACTCTAAAAATTATGTATGTAATGACAGCACAGGAGATATAAATTAAGTAAATTTGCAACATTTAGTGGTTAATACACAAACCTGTTGAACATCAGGACCCAGTATTTTCCAGTCAAACCCTGCATCTTCCAATTTAATACGCCCCTTTAAGTCCACAGCTAACTTATCTGCCACTCGTGAACTTCCGGTAAAAAGAGTCATCTGTGGCTTTGCCTGTTAAAATATCAAATATAAAAATGCATAAACAGAGATCAATCGCTTTACCCACCATCCAAGTTATTCATATGGCAAGGGTATAGCTGGACACAGTGTTGGATACAGCAATGTTTTAAAAACTGACCTGGAGGCCGAACCTTTTTTGCCTCCAGGTTGCGGGTCACTGGTTCAACCGGCCAGGTCGAACGGTTCAGACCGTGCCACATCATATATATACATATATATATATGTATATGTATATATGTGTAAAAATATATATATATTTTATCAATAAATAATGTATAAATATGTTAGATGTATTTTTATATTTAAATTATATTTTTAACTCAGTTTTTATTTTTTTTTATTTATAAAAAAATATTAAAAATTGCAATTTGAGGCAGAAAAGGGTATTTTTTGCGAAAATAGCGGGGTATGGTGCCTTGGGACGCATAGATCTTGAAAAATTACCCAAAATAAAAAAAAAATCACCCAAATCGGACATCAGAGTGAAAAGTTATGGCCTCTGAAAGTTTGCATACATTGAGTGTGTAACCCACGATCTGGTGACTGGGTCGAACGGGTCAATGGTTGAACCGTCCAGGTCAAACGGTTCTTGACCAAGTCAACGGTTTTGACCAAGTCAACGGTTTTTGACCATCTGACATGTCTTGACTGAACCAGACCCGGAATCTTGGCCAGGTGACGATTCGAGTGGTTCGACCGGCTGGGTCAACGATGGGTTGAAAACACTTGGATACAGTATTTACACTAAGGCTTTAAATATCTAATATGATACAACGCCCTTGTACAAGTATCTTGGTATCATAGTTCACCATTACTTATGAATATAGAGGCTTTTCTTTCTGATTTTTACTGAAAATTAGAAGAATTATAACATAATACAAGCAAGAAATTCCATAGTGCATGATATTTAAGAAAAAAAAAGTTAGAAAATTTCAGCATTTTGTGGAGAATTTTTTTGGTGCATGCCCCATACCCCCATCTGAAATTCTGAAATGTCAAGATGACTTGCCTAAGGCCAGATTTGTGAAGAACAACCCTTTCCCACTGGGGACAGTTTCTTTTGGTATTATGTTGCATTTTGATGGTGTGTACTGTATCTGACATGTAAACAAATTTGGAAGCGAAGTGGAAAGCCAACCTAATCCATATTCTGGTTAATTAAATTACATGTTATGGCCACTAGAACAACCCAATTTAGTCTTCATAGTATGGTAGTATACCATGTTGCAGATAGTAGCAGTGTATTGAATCAATTACAATAAAGCACTAATGTATAGGAGCACAATTGCACAAAAGTGGTTCAGCCTGCAATGGATGACTCCTCTAACATGAAATTAGGACTATCTCCATGTATTCAATCTTGAAAGAACAAAAGTAAAGACATATAGTAGTTACTCAAATACAGGTATCTAGATATAACCAGGTCTTTTCAGTATCAATAAAAGGAAAGTCAAGCAACACAATGTGAATCCTCAGTAAATCAACAGTCAAAATCCATTAGTATGGTTGAAATGCAAAAGATGCCATGACATTGTTTAATGCATATCAGTAACTGAATTAAACCATATCCAAGTTCTGCTATTCCTGAAAATGTATCCTCATAAGAACTAACCTCCAACAATAGCTTATTCATTGTCTTTCCATCAGAGTTGATGAAATCGACATCCTCCCTAGGTAATCCGCAATTATGTAGTAGTCGGAGCATTTGCTCCATCACAATGCTGACCTGTAAAACATTTCAAATTTGAATAAATAAAAAATGAAGATAGGAAAGAAACAATTTACATAAAGATTTGTAGAATTCTAAATCTTAGAAGATTGGTTTTGCAAAAGATTGCCAATTTATAAGACCAACTAAATAGAGTGAAACTCTAATGTAAGTTTATTCACTATGGAAATATGAAACCAATAGTATTTTCCTCTCTAGTATATATTGGTAATACCATCCTATACCAGTCAATAATATCCAATCTTGCAATAATTTCCTTTACAGCTAAAGTTTACTGAAAGCACATTATGAACTTCATAAAATCTGATATGAAAGAAGGACAAGTCATACTTTGGAGAGAAAATTATAGGAATTTTAAGGTCATACCTTGCTGTCAACTTTAAGAATAGGTTTGTTGCCCATATAAAGTGCACCCATCATTTGCAGTATGGGAATTTCTAGAGGAAAATTGAAGGGAGTGACAATTGCCACCTACAAAATTAACCCCCCAACATTAATTTCAAAGAATAAGGCAAATAAATAATGAAAGCATAATCTAACCATCAGCAACAAAAAATTCAAAAACAGAAACACATAAATGTGCATGATTGGACAAACCTTTTCTGATTTTAACGTTAATACATGGTGAAAACAAATATTGGACATAATATACTTAAACAGCATGACTACCTCCTCTATCTAAATGAAATTATATAGGAACAAGACTTGATTAAATCAAATTAAATAGGTTGTTTCCTGAATACAGTACAACTCCTCACTGTACAGCACATGCATGTATCAATTGTTTCAGTTTCTGAATTCTGATAGAAAATAAAATGTTCAAGTTATTAGCATGGAGATACCATAAAATGAAACATTACATGGCCATGCCTCTGTACCCACAGTTCTACATTGAAAGCGATGTTTGTGCCAAAAGAAAGAAAAAGACTTACAGGACCATATGGCCAACGAAGGCCGTGACTTTGCTGACCAAGATGATTCCCCGGTACCGCAAAAGATCTTGCAAGGAAGCGTACCTGACAAATTAGCAAAGCATAACAAAAAGAAGAAAGCACTGCTTCAGTGTCAACAACAGAGATTGACTACCTTATAAAAGGAAAGATAGTTGAATAGTTTGTATAGGAATTACAAAAAAAAGTATAAATAAACCATAATTTCAGGCACAAATATGAATGTTGCAGTAAAGATCACTGGACAGTATTGGTACTTAATTACCCCAACAGTAAACACCACGAAATTCATCAATTAAGAGTTAAAAAATTGTCATAATTAGTTAATTACAGGATTTACTAATAGAAAATTGAAGTTACCAATGAGAGTGCAGCAAAGAAGCCTGAGGAAGTTTGTGGTCAGAAATATCAATAAATGAAATGTTGCTTGGATTCTCCTAAATAGACAATGTGTAAGTGTCAGATATGCGCCAGAATCTGACACTTCACAGACTACGTAACAATTCATTTTATCTCCAATCTCATTTGACATAAATGAATGTCTAATGTACAAGATGAATGTCATATTTTATATCAAATGTTACTTGGTAACAAAGGCAACATTTTAGACCCTCCTTTTGCAAGCATATAATGTTACAATTCAGAGAATATGAACTATTTTACTAGTATATGCTTTTCCATATCTGTGTCCATGCAACACTGAATGAAAGTAAAGTTACTTTTTCATACATACATACACAGACATGTGAACTCACAGTTGTGTATGCATGCATTTTCTGCTTGAACAGGTAAATCTAAAAGCAATAGTAGAATAATCTTCATAAATATATGACTGTTCTTCATGTACCTGGTCACCACAGAAATTCTCCAAAAATTTCTGGCTAACATAAACCTCAGCAAGGGCCTGCTGGTAACTCTTTGGAGATACCCTTTGTATTAGCCTTGTAAAAAAATTGGAAACCTGAAAATGTCAAATTACTGAACACTTAAGACATGCAGAAATTAAACTGGCTCCTTTATTTGTTTCACAATACTATAACAGGAAAATGAAATTATATTTCCTTCAATACTATGTCCTACCTCCGGTTGAGAAAGCATGTGACCAGCCCTAGCAGACACATCTCCAAATAAAAGATATCTGGGGAACATAATTTTTTGTAAGAAAATCTGATTGTGCAACTTGTAAAAAAATGGAGAAAAGTGTTGTAATTAGTTTGGACCAAAGAAAAGAATTCTAGTAAATCAGAAACAAATGCATCATAATATTTCTACATAAATATTCATTATGCTGCAACAGGAAGGAAGTTCAATAGCTTTATGATTCCAGACTTTGTGAGCAGCAATTCATGGAAATTAGTAAACAAAGAATCACTTAAGGGGTTTACCACATATTAGCAAAACAAAAAGGCACAACCATAAGAAGAAATCCATACCTCTCTGGTGCTTTAAATGGATTGTGAAGACCATGTTTTGGACACTTGGACAAGCTCTCCACAAAAGGCTGCATAAAGAAAAACAATCAATTCAAAAAAATTCTTTTCAAGAAAATATTGTAAGAAAACCATAGGCTGATGGAATTTCAGGAAGGCAGAATGGGAATAAACAAGAGAAATAAATGGTAGTTAAGGACTTAAGGGCACCGTTGTAAAGTCATAGGATCCTAAGGTGGGAGGGGCACTAGTGCCGAACCATATTTTTCGCTAAAAAGAGGACAAACCAATGCAACAGAAAAAGAGGCTCAAGTCTAATATATGGCCAAAATACCTGCAACTCTGTTTCATTCACCTCAGCAACCTTAATAAATGGTTCTCCATTTAGCGGATCAACTACAGTACTCCAATTAGAAGATTCAGTCCATCTACCTTGCACTAAACAGAACCAGCACACAAAGTTCACACTACATGACAATTGTAGGCATAAATAACCAAAGAATGTGCAAGTGGAAATGGTTACTCAGTTATGGATATAATAAAAACGAGTTCCAACATCTAAGATGAAATAAATTTGATATGGTGAAGGCACATTTGATTTCATCTTTAATCAAATAAAGTTRGCATACTAATGGAAAATGAAACATAGTTGGAATAATAAAAAAAAGGAACTTGTATACCTCAGAGTCAGTTCCTCGAATTTCAGCTAATACATATATTTTCATTTTTCATGTTTTATCTTCTTTTACCTTTCTCTTTCTGATCAATAACAAGCTCACTAATGTTAGCATATATTATAGTGCCACCTCAAGCCAAGATAAAAATGAAATGTTCTGTCAGGTTCGCAGCCAGCACAAAAAGTTTAAGCCAACCAATATGAATATGAACCCTGAATCATTTTGTGCACCACTAGGGCAGTCTCTTTAAATAATATGCTATAATGATATTCAATTGCAATTGAGGGCAGGAATTTGGCTCTTTATAGAGCACCACAGCAGGAGAGAATTGTGTAGCCAGCCCTAGAATAAATTCTGGTCCCACGTCAATCAACAGTTACTGTCATTAGCCAAGCCTTTTTTACTTATAGGGGACTTTAATGAAGCGGACTCTGTCTTGCCTCTTGATCCTACATCATCCACTCATAACTCTAGATTCACATCTAGCCAATATCATAATATGGTGTTAAACAATGGTCTTATTGAGATTAGCATTCAAGGAGGAAAACTTAGTTGGTCCAATAAAAGACACTTAGGACTTATTTCTAGAACACTAGATAGAGCTCTAGCTATAGAGGTGTAAAGTGGGCCATGCCGGGCCGGCACGACACGGCCCGTGGGCGGCCTGCCCTAAAGGTAGGATATGTCGTGCTGGCCCGCGGATCGCCACAGGCCGTGCCGTCCTCCCCGGTGGAAATTTTGGGGGTCGACCCGACATGGCCCAGGCCCAGGTGGGCCCATGCTATGCCGTGCGTGGGCTTGGGCCATGCCGGGTTGGGCCACAGGGCGGGCCTTGGGCTTGGACCGAACCGGGTTGCACTGTTTTTTTTTCGTTTTTTTTTTGATTTTTTGAAAATTTTGATTTCTTTTCTAAGTAAAATTGTAAAACTAAAATATTTAACTTTCCTATGAACTTTGGGAATTGGGAACTATTTAAAAAATTAAGAAATGAGAAATCCAAGTTATTTAACACATAAATGAAAAAAAAATACTTAACCAAATTGAAATAAGAATGATGGAATAACAAATTGGAAGAGAAATAGGAATTTTATTTCATTTAAATTTGAATGGTACAAATTAGTGAATTACAAATACAATGATTGGATCATTGCATACTTGGATGAATGAAATATATGGAATAAATTAATAAAACATAAAAAATACAATATGGTTACAAATTGAAAATAAAAATTACATTGTTAAAAAATTAAAAAAATATATCAAAAAAATTAAATAAAATTAAAAAAATTTACAATAATTTGAAAAAATGAAAAATTCTATACAAGCATTCAAATTCATGAATCATCATTCATGACTTTCATCATCTACTTTAGGTGAAATGTCTAGTGTTGTATCACTCCACCAGGCTAAAATATAAAAATTATTTGATACTTCACCTAAATTAAAAGAATTTGCTTGTAAATAAAAATTAAGTTCAATAAATGTACTTGTTGTAGAACTAGCAGATTTCTGTCTTCTACTTATTAAATAAAAAACTTTTTCTCTTCTACTATTGGGCTCAAGGTCAGAAGTAGAAGAAGAAGATGATGAACAAGTTGTAGGAATATTTCCGACAACTTCAGATTCATACAAACTGTGCATTCCAAATAATAAATTATTAATTCATTTGTTGCATCAAAAAAATGTTTTAAAAAATCTCTTATACAGATTGCCATTTCCCAGTCTTCCTCAAATATCATATCATTAGGCATTTTTAAATTATAAAAATCAGAAAGAATTTGTGTATGAGATATACAACTTTCTAACATAGCATAGGTAGAATTCCAACTATGCTTTACATCTAATATAAAATGTTTATATTTTAAACCATAATTTTGGCATAAATATTTAAATTCTTGTTTTCTTGCCCTTGAACTTTTTATATATATAATACAATTTCTAATTTTTGAAATATGAGTACAAATAATATTCAAGGCATCTTGAATACATGAATTTAAGATGTGACATGCACATCTAATATGAAATAATTTACCATTTAAGCATGGTTTTAATTGAGATTTTAAAATATTTATTGCAAAATCATTATTCCTGGCATTATCAAAACTGCTAACATTATTGTTTTCTATTCCATAAGCATGCAAAGTATTTAAAATACTTGCAGCAATAGTTGGGCCACTATGTGGCCATTCAAGCCTAGTAAAACTTAAAATTATTTTATTCAAAAGCCATTTTTCATCAATAAAATGGCCAATAACACAAATATAACAAATATTAAATTTGG